GTGCCAAGATGCTTAGAGGGGAAGGTGAAGCTTGGCTCACTTGGGACCCCTCCAGCCTGTGTTTGTGAAGTATACATATTTGTGACTCTTGTTTGCTGGGCTTTGTGAAAGATTTTCTTAAAAGAAGACACTGAGCTTCTTTTTTTCTTTTTCTTTTTCTTTTTTTCAGACAGGGTCTTGCTCTGTCACCCAGGCTGGAGTGCAGTGGCGCAATCTTGATTCACTGCAACCTCCGCATCTAGGGTTCAAGCAATTCTCATGTCTCAGCCTCCTGAGTAGCTGGGACTACAGGTGTGTGCCACCACATCTGGCTAATTTTTGTATTTTTAATGGAGGCAGGGGTTTCACCATGTTGGCCAGGCTGGTCTTGAACTCTTGACCTCAGGTGATTTGCCCGCCTTGACCTCCCAAAGTGCTGGGGTTACAGGCGTGAGCCACTGTGTCCAGCCTTGTTAGTGTTGTGTTTTTTATTTTTTATTTTTTTAAGACTTTTAATATGAACTCAAGTATTACCTCCCTCTTTCTGGAAGCTCGTCTGTACCTCAGAGTGTTGCATGCCCTACTTCTCAAGGGGAACCAACCTTAAGCTCCACACCAGGACTGGGTTTTTATCATCAGACTTCCTAGGAGGTTTCTTCTGCCCCTTCCAGGGTAAGTTTTACCCTCTGTTTATTCTGATTCTGCCCCCGGCTGCAGGGGTTGCTGGAGGAGCCACATGCCACCTAAACCCCACAGCTGTGGGTGTTTAACTCACCAGGCCCCGTAAGCCACTTGCTTGGTGATTCTTTTCTGTGTTCTTCTTTGGGAGCTTTTTTTCTTATTTCCAGAACCAACTGTTCCAATCTTTTGCCGCTTTTTAAGCCCTTACCCCCTGAGAGCCGGGCTTCTAAGAATCCCTTCAGTTCTATTCCCTCTGCCCCAAGACCTACTAAAATAGTGCCATTGCTCCAGCTCAAGGAGGCATCCTTCTATCTTCTGGGGACAGACCCTCCTGCCACCCTTGCACTGGATTAATCCTTTCACTCCCTTAGGGCCTTGTAATAGTGTCCTGACTCAGGCCAGACTGCCACTTACTGGCTGGATGACCTTGGGCAAATTACTCAACCTCTTTTTGCCTCAGTGTTTCCATCTGTAAAATGGGATAATAATGGAATCTCCCTCATCAGGACTAAAGAAATGTATACACTTATAATCAATAAGTGTAAAATGCTTAGAACAAGGCCAGGTATCAGTCCCTATCATCATTCCCCTCCTCCCCAGTATTTTTCTTTTCTCCCTTCTCCTCCCGTATTCAAAATCTCTTCATCCAATCCACCAAATAACAGAACAGTCAAACCACCAAAACATCGGTCCTCTGCTTAGTTTCATCTAAAGCTATTATCTTCTCTCCTTTTATTGGCACATTTGTTGGAAGGGGTAGAGTTGTTTCCATTACTTCAAATCTCATTAATTCCTCTACCCATTATAGCACATTATGGCTTCCATTCTGCCTCCACCCCCATCCACTCACTGAAATTGCTGTCAATAAAGTAACATTTAATGACCTTCTAATTGTCAAATCCAATGCTATTCTTAAGTCATCCTCTTTAAGCTTTCTTGAGTGTTTGAAGCTGTTGTAGCCGTTTGAATGTTTCATTCCTTACACTGATCCCTTTATTCTCTACCCAAAGCAATGCTAAGTAACATGCAGATGTCACTCATAGTCGCTTATTTTTAGAAAGATAATTTCAGATCTAGTAGTAAGTCACCTGTGTGCCCCTTTCCATTTTCCTCCATCTCAGAAGTAAGTACTCTCTTTAATTTAGTGTTGATCATCCCATACATGATTTTATACAATTAATGCATATGTATAAATCCATAAATGCTAATGAACATGTTTTGCATATTAAATTTCATACAATGACAACCTATCACTTTTTGAAAAGCTTTTAAAAAATAGATCCAGACAATGCATTGCTAATCCAGGCTGTCCATCCAGGGTGTTGATTGACCAGACAGTGTCAGATATGCACACTGGTTTTGAGATCAACTTTCTTCAGTATGTGATTAGGAAACATTTTAGAAAATGCTCTGCTCTTGCATGAGGCACTGTGCAGACTGTCTGGGTATTTTATGTTTGGCTTTTACCTTCATGAAAGATGGCTTTATTCTGTTCTTTTTAATGGGCAGTCTCCTTACATGGGTGAAGATTGCCTTGACTCCTTTTCTTGCTGCAGACCTGTTTTTTTTTCCTACTTAAGGTTTTGTTTGTTTGTTTGTTTGTTTTTTCCTGAGCATTTCACTGGGTTTTCCTACATGTACCCCTTATTTGCAGGGATTTTTTTAAAGGATGGTTCTTGATTCTCTTCATTCTCACCAGAAGACCACATTCTTTCCCATAGCCCTGGTGAGTGGAAGACCCTCGATCCTATCTCTAGGCTGAAGGGTGCTACTGTACATGTTTGCCTGGGTGTCTGCCAAGCCCCTACAATGTGTTTTACTGCTGAACCTGCTCCACCACCTGCATCCTCAGTGTGTCACCCACACACCTCCCCGTCGGGCCCCTCTGTGCTCTCTGTGGCTGCCCTTCTTCAGGCCTTTGCTTGGAATTCAGACATTTCCCACACAGGTCATCTCCCATGTCCCCTCCCCTCACGCTATTGCCAGAGTAACTGATCAAAATGCAAACCAACCATCATCTTCCACTTCACCTCGTGCACTGCCCCTCTCCTGCCATACTGTACGCAGGATCCACCCAGACACCCGGGCTTGGCACCAGCGCCCTTCTGGGTCTGGCCCTACCTGCCTTTCCCACCTGTCCCCTAGCTCTGCAGTAGACCTCCACCTCTCTTGCCTCAGTGATCTCCTCCCCATGCCCCTGCACACTGAGTCTTCTCACAGCTGTATGCCCTGGTGATGCTCTTCCAGTGCCAGGGGTGCCATTGTCTTCTCTCCCTCCTCATCCTGAGATCCAGCTTACGTGCATCACTTCCCTGACAGTCTAGGCAGAAGCAGCTCTTCCCCCGCTCTGCTCTCAGGGTGCATCCCTACCTCAAAGAGGCTGAACTGCACTGGGCTGCGTTGCACTGGTTCCATTTGCACACTTGTCTCTCCCCAGCTTAGCCTGGGGGGCTCAAGTTCAGGGTACAATTGTCTGCGTTTGTAACTCAGTGTCTGGCCCATGGCAGGTACCCAGTAAACACTAGCAAGTTAGTGGCTGCTGGCCTGTCACCAGCCCTGCCTGTTCACCCCCTGCTCAGGAGTCCCTGGAGTAAAGTAATGCATGCCATCTGATCCTCCCTCAGGGTGCCAGCAGTCCATGTTAGGAGAAAGGAGAGAAAAAAGATGAGGTGGAAGACACTGCCCCAAATTCACACTGGATAGTGCAGCCTGCCCCTGGGACCAAAATGCCATTTAGAACCCAAATGTAGGAAATGGGGTCTCAGCCTGCCCTCAGCTCCCCTTATACCACCACGGGCACTACTCCCTCTCTAGAAAACCTTGCACTTAAACAGTTTTCTTTCTCTTCCCACTCCTCTTCCTTCTCCCCTCCCTGCTCCATGTAATCACTGCCTTCTTCCCCCAGAGCTCTGGGCATATAGTTACTTCCATCCCCAGTCCCAGGAGCTGGGTGAGGCCCAGGATCACTGCTCCCATTTGCGGATGGAGAACTAAGTCCAGAGAAGGGTACAGTGGGCTGGGGCCATGGTTAGGACCAGGAAGTCAGTCCTACCTCCATGCAGGGGCAGCGTGGGGACAGCTTCGTGAAGGAACACCCAGCCCCCTTCAGAGAAGGCCTTGTGAAGGATGGGGAGGTGGAGAACGGTGGCATGCCCAGCTTGTCAGCAAGGGGGCAGCCCTCAGGGTCCAGATGGGGGACAAAGAGGATCCGGGCAGGTTAGGAGTGCAGGCCTGAACCCTGCGACCAGCATCTACCCAGGAACTCCTCCAGGGTGGCCTCTGCTCCCTCCCTTGATGGGAAAAGACAGGACTGCTGACATGCCTGTGAACCATGGGAGTATCTGCCCATTTCTCTTCCATCAGGTCACCAAGGAGTGAGCGCAGGTGCAGGGGGAGCTGAGAGGACTTGATGGAGGAATTGGAAGGAGAAGGGTCCAGGGAAGAGGAGACTGAGGAAATGGCCCATGGAGCTGCCCTGAGCCCAGGTGGGCACATTCAGGGGCAGAGATGGTACCAGAGGAAAGGTGCTTGGTATTGAGCTGGCAGCAAGTGTTGGCAACCCAGGTGGGGATTTGCCCGAAGGAGCTGCTCAGTTCCCACCTCCAAGAGTGTGCAGGCCTTTCCTAAAACGCCTGACTCAGGCTGAGGTGGCCCCACCCAGGCTTGGACTCCCTTCCTTGTGGTGACAGAGGGTGCGGAGAAGTGGGGAGCCCCTAGGAATGACTCCAGGGAGTAAAAGGGAGCAGTAAGAGTAGAGGGAGTGAGAGGGGCCCCTGGGGAGCCGAGAGAAGAGCAACCCTGGAGGAGGCCAGGTGGCACCCTGGCACCTCGGTAGGCTTCTGAGTGCAGCAGAGAGGTGGGCTGGAGATACGCGGTGGAGGTGGGGTCCAGCACTCATCCGCCCATTGTTTCCAAGCCTGCTTCCCTCTCTTGGATACTTCTTCTCTGACCCCCTCCCCAACATCCACACTGACCCTTGACGCCACCTTCCTGGTCTGTGTGTGACACTCCTGGGCTTTCACTTCTATTCCTGGTGACTTCAGTAGCCAGGATATGGGAGGGTTGGGCTAAGTGGATTAAGGGAAGTTGGGAGGGATATTACATCCCCAGCACAAAACTCTACCTGAGGGTCTGGAGCCCTTGTGGCCTGAGGCCCTCACCCAGGAAAGTAGTCTGCCTTTCAGGGCATGCCAAGGCTTCCCAGAAGTTCTGGGAAGGACAGTGCTCCCTGGGATGGGCTGTGGGATGGCTTCCCCACTCTGTCCCAAGTTTCCCTTCACCTTGGGGTGCTCACTTTGATGCCTACTGACTCAGTCCCAGGTTAGAATTAAAGACAGGTATTTGGTCTTGCAAATAAATATATTTAAAAGGGAAGTTTATTAATATCAGAAGGGACAAATGAGAGCACAGAACATGCAGCTGTCCAATTTCTAAGGCGACTCTGCTGTGACAGTGATTGGCCTCCGGCCCCTGCAGCTGGGCAGGCCGCTATCTGAGCTGGTGTGGCCACAGCACCCTGCCTGTCTCCACCTGGCATTCTGCTCTTCCCTGCATTCTGGGAACACCATTCTGGACACACTGAGAGGCCAAGGCAGCTTTCTCTCACTGCCACCCTCCTGAGTTCTGCCAGTGCTTCAGCCCGGCCCCGAGTCTGCCACCATCCCTTTTCTGATTGGTTGAGGCACCATGTTTCGGCCTTGTCCCTCCAGGCCAGAGCGCAGCAGCCCCTACCTTCGCAGCACTGGGAGGCTGGCCCTCAGCCCTGGGAGGAATCTTCCTTTTCCAGAGACACCTCGGCCTGCACTTCCAGATTCCCTGTGGCCTCTGCCTTCCTAGAGGCCTCCTGGCGACGCCACCGTCTGGAGGGTTGGTAGGAGCTCTCATCGCTCACGGGGCCCTGCTGCCCCCGAGTGAGGCCCAGCAAGGCCCGGCTCTGGTGGAGGAAGCTGGGGCTGGAGAAGCAGTAGAGCACAGGGTCCAGGACGCTGTTGAGGTAGGTGAAGGCCAGGGAACCGTGGAAGAGCCGTGAGCAGAGGTTCAGGGAGTGGCAGGCGGACAGCCAGAAGGCCACCATGGAAGCTGTGCCAAAGATGATGCTGGGCAGGAAGCAGATGGTGTAGACAGCCACCACTACGGCCAGCACGCGCATGGCCCTCTGTGGGCCCGCCTGCTTGCCCAGACCACGGCGCCGGATGGTAAGCCCAATGCTCACGATGGCGAAGAGGATGAGTGTCAGGGGCAGGAAGAACTCCAGCAGGTACAGCGCCTGGTGCCAGCGGAGCGAGGCTGAGGGCTTCGTGCCCACCTTGTAGCTCAGGCAGGAATGGCCTGAGAAGGTGCTCAGGAGCAGGTGCCCGTTGAGGAGCAGGATGCCCACCCAGAGTCCCCCGGCCACCCGGGCAGCTGTCCCCACGGAAGCCCGGCTCAGCACATGGTGGGGCTGCACCACCTTCACGTAGCGGTTGAGCGCGATGGCCGTGAGGAAGACGACACTGGCCGTGCGGTTGGTGGACAGCATGAAGAGGTTGACTTTGCAGGCAGCGGCCCCAAAGCGCCAGATCTCATGGAGGAGGTAGTAGTCCACTCGGAGGGGCAGGTTGCTGATCAGGAGGAAGTCAGCGGCCACCAGGCTGACCAAGAACACCGTGTTGGAGGTCCAGGGCCGTGTGTGGACGCAGAAGATGAAGAGGGCCAAGCTGTTCCCCACCAGGCCCAGGACAAATTCCAGGGCCAGGATTGGTGCCAGGAAAGCAGACACCATTGGGGAAGAGGTGGGATGGCAAGTCTCTCGAGAGGACCCCCCGACAGTGGTAAAGGCGGAGGAAGATGGGGAGGGTGAGGGAGGGAAGGAGGGAAGGAGAACCAAGGAGGAGAGAGAGGGAGAGGGAGAGCTCAGGTTATGAAGCTCCATGGGCTGCATGGGCTGCATGGGCCACAGACCTGAGAAAGGTTCTGGAGTCTTCTACCCCTGCAGTAGTGCTCAGGGCAAAGAGGGATGACTGTCACTATCAGCTGGCCACCACAGTGACACAATATCCTGGGGTTTTCATCAGCATTCTCACAGCCACTGAGAAACACTCTGTTCCTGTTTGCGGGCCAAGGGGAAACCCTGCACCCTCCCTGTCTGCCGGGGGACTGAGTGACCACGTGAGGCCTCTGAACCCAGCCTGGGGGTTGTGCCCCTGGTAGAGGAGGAAGCAGGGCTCAGCAGGGGCAAGATGGAAGCCCAGAAAAACCCTGAAGTGAGAGAAAAGTCCAGACAGGTGAGGTAGGGGAGAGTATTTGCAGCCCTGAGGCCTGGTGACCTGTGGCTCTCAGGGTCATGCAACCCTCCCTGGACACCCCCTCCCCTACTACATACAGAGGCAGTTGGCTGCCTCCCTGCCCCCACCAGCTTTGGCTTCAGGGACTGTGAAGCCAACAGGACATTGTCCTGGGAGAAGTGGGCAGGAAGTCAGTGAAGACCACCGCTGTTCTGCTGCTGGCCTGGAGGGAACCAGGCCTGTGTGTGCTCCACCAGCCTGCTGTGCGTCTGAAAGTCCACTGTAGTTCAGCCTGCAGTCATTCCCAGATTCCTGATGGTTCCGAAGTCTGTGATGGTTCCAAGTCCAGGTACACAGTGAAGTAGCCCCACGGGCAGAGGGTGTCGCTGCCAGGTTTCTACCACCATAGCATAGGGACCTGGGGGCTTCTTCCGCAAAGAGAATAATCCTGATTTTCCCTGTCTGTGCTTCCCCATGGCTCCTTGTCCACCCCACTCCCCGCCCCCATCAGCATTCACTGCAGAATGGGGAGTGGGAAGCTGGGGCTGGTTCCAGACAAGATGCAAGTCCGGCTGTCCCATGGTGAGGTGTTCTCATGAGCCCACAAGCTCGTCCTGTGGGTGGAGATGAGGGCTTCAGGCTCCTGATAACCCGGGGCAGCAGGGCCAAGGGAGGTGGTGGTTCCAGGTTGCAGAGCCTGACCCCGCAACTGCCAGCTGGCTGGTGTCAGCCGTCTGCTGTGTGTGGCCAGGCCTCTGTGTTTCAGGCACAGTGACCCCTGGCCTCTCTTGGCTGCCCTGGGCTCCTGTTTGGTTGAGGCTGAGGGAAGACATCCCTGGGAGAAGCAGGATGGTGAGGCCCAGCCTAAGCTTCATATGCAGGCAGCCTGGGTGGGAACAGCTGCCCCATTTCCAGACCTCTCTGAGCCTTATCTGTAAAATCGGGTATACTACCACCTTCTTGGAGAGTTGTGAGGATAAAAGGAGAGAATTTATGTAAAAACTTCTAGGGGGTTCCCTGGTACAGAGCGAGTGTTCCCAAAAACGGATCTAATTTTCATGACTGTCTGAATTAGGCTTGCCCTGGGTACGAGGGTAGACTCTTCTCCTCATGGCTAACTGTATTCTGACCCGGGGCCTTCTGGGAACATTCTGTGCTCTCTTCTCAGGTCCTGCATGGAGCAGTGCATTGTTACAGGCCAAGAACAAGCTGCGCTGAGCGTCTGCCTCTGCCCACCCTGGACCATTTGCGTTTGGAGAAGCCTGATGGTGTGTTTTCCTTGCTTGTAGGTGAGGAAAACCCTTATGGGTGAAGAGGTGGGTGAAGGTCCCTATATCTCTTGGGGCCAGCAGCCTTTTCAGCAAAGACAGGTCTTCCTCTGCTCCCAGTGGAGCGTAGGGAGGCAGAGAGCCAGTGGGCTGGGGATGGGGGAGACAGGGCTCAAGTGTTCTTTTCTAGAGGAAGCTTGAGGCCAAGCAGGGACCTGTTCTGTCCAGACACGCTCATGTGCATGCTGCGTCCGGCACTCTCATGTGCATGCCCTCATTGACTTCCCACGGAAGTCCCAGGAAACTGAGTCATGCCCGTTGCAGGTTCCACTTTCTCATCTCTGCCCACTGGTGCCTCTGCATCCCGAGACCCACAAAACAGGCTCAGGGGGTTCTCCGGAGTCTTTGAACATGGCGCCTGTGCATGACGGGACGGCAGGGGCACAAGGCCAGACACCCCACCAACACTGCCGAGCTCCTGGTACAACTTCACACCCTCTCCAGGCTGATCGTAGTCTTTAGGTATTAGCAGTGGTTAGCTCTGGGTGGGGGGGGGGGTCTGTGTATTTCTGTGTTTTCTATAGTTAGCACAGATGACTTCTGTTATTGGAAAAAACTCAACAGATGCTAGTCTTTTAAAGTTACATAAAAAGACAGCCTGGGCAACATGGCGAAACCCCCATTTCTACAAAAAAGAAAAAATAAAAAAAATTAGCTGGGTGTGGTGGTGCGTGCCTGTAGTCCCAGCTACCCAGAAGGCTGAGGTGGGAGAATCGCTTGAGCCGGGGGGGCGGTCAAGGCTGCAGTGACCTGTGATTGCACCACTGCACTCCAGCCTGGGTGACAGAGTGAGATCCAGTCTTGGAAAAAAAAAAAAGTAACAGGAATAAATGGGAACAAAGAAGGAAGTGGAGAGATGACATTAGCTGTGCTCCCAGGACCAGACACGGAGCATGCGTGGATCAAGTCACACACAGTGAGGAATGCCCATCCAAGAACAGACCCTCCGACACGTCCATGGCCACCCGGGGCCCGGATGCCCCAGATACACCACATGGTCCCAGGGGAGCCCATGGGAACAGCAGCGATGACTGCCTGTGTGTGTGCAGACCCACAGGTATTTGTTCACCAGGAAACATTTACTGAGGGCCTTCTTGGTGGGGAGGTGCTGCCCAAAGTCTGTAGGGACAGAGGAATGGGCAGGAGCTGGGCAGGGAGTAGACTGCCTGGAAAGGCTGGCAAGGCAGTAGGGTGAGACTGCCAGAGAAGATGGGGAGCTGCTACCCCCCCAGGGGCATGGCATCTGGGCTGAGAAGGGCAGGAGGGCGGTTGACGATCATGTCCAGGTCCGTGAGGGGCACAAGCAGCGGTTCACGGAGAAGCAGTGGGGGCTGGGAGAGTTGTTTAGTGGGGATGGCACTCAAGAGGGTGCTTGGCACACCTGTGGCTGCTTCGGGCCATGGCAAGGGGGTCACCCCACGGGCTTCTTGCAGGCAGGATCCTGCGTCACAGACAGGGCCACAGAGCCTTGTGTTCGCTCCCAGGCATACCTGTGGACACACAGATGAGCAGGGCTCAGACAGAGCTGGGTCCTGAGGATCCCAGAGGAAGCCCTCCGCACATACTCACGAGGTCCCAGCTAGCACCAGGAGGCTGTCCTCTGGTCCCAGGCTCAGGCGCTGTCCCCTCATTGTCACCACCGAGGAGCCCTCCTGGAAAGAGGAGCAGAGAATCACATGGAGGGTGTTGGGACTCAACACCTGGGGGAAGGTCTGAGGCTGGTGGGCCCGAAGGCCCAAGAACAGGCTGCCCAGGGTCCAGGCTGATGCCCCCGGCAGGGGCTTCTGCAACCCTGTCCCTGGGCCCCACTTGCCAGTTGCCACAGCCACACGTCCACATTCTGGTTCAGGCCTTCGCTGCTGCCTTGTCCATGGGCGATCACCTGGTGGGAGGTGAAAAAGAAACTTCTGGTGCTTCTTGCCCCACATGGGAGATGGTCTTGAACCTGGCCCCCAGACACCGGGCCTGCTTGGAGCAAGGTTGGGGCCCATAAAACAGCCCCCTCACCATGTGCTGAGCAGAGGCCGGGACGTGGAGAGGAAGGCTGCCCGGGCTGCAGGCCTCCCTGTGGCCGCCACTGCGATAAGCATTTGGGATCACACATGCCTGCCTTTCATGTGCAGTGTACCTGTGGTCCCTCTGATGTGTGCCCATGTGAAGGAACGCCCACCAGGGCTCACTAGGGACACATTTACACCAGCTTCCCAGAGGGTGCCACCTCCCTTTCTCCTGAGACGCTATAAGTCTGGCCTCAGGAGGAGGAGGGAACAAGGAGGGCGAGGCTGAGGCCTCTCTGACATGCGCCGGTCTGGAAGCCCACAGCCACTGTGTGGGGCCACACTCCTGCCGGCCCAGAGAGGGACTCAGTGGATATTCATTCATGTAAACCGAAGCAGGTGAGAGCAGCGTATGACGGAGGTGGGGTGCAGGGCTGAGTGGCACTGTGCCATGTGTGCATGTTCTTGCAGCCCTGTGTAAGCTCAGCACGTCCCTGGTATCCAAGAGCAGCAGGCCACGCCTCTTAAGGGGAGCCTGTAGCCATGAGCATCCCTTCACAGACTGACTAATTGAAAGCCCATGGGATGCGCCAGTGGCAAGCCGCAAAGCGCAGGTGCACACCAGCCTCCTGCAGGTCTCCCCGCACACTCCTGTCCTCCCAGCCTCATCCCCACGAATGGTACGGAGCGACCTTTCTGAAACATCACTCTCGCCTGTCACTCCCCTGCTTCAACACTTGCATGGAACGCTATTGTCTCTAGGACAAGTCCTCCTACCTGGCCTAGCCCAGCAGACCTACTAGGACCTGGGCCCTGCCTGCTGCTCCACAGTCCACCGGTCACACTTGTACTCCCACTCCCCAGCCCTGCCTCTTGCCAAGTTCAGCTACTCTCAGGCTGTTTCAAGCCTCCATGCCTTTGCTCATGCTTCTCCCTCACCTAGAATGTTCTCTCCCCCTCCCTTTCTTTATTTTATAAACTACACTAGCTTTAAAATGGAACATGCACATCACCTCCTCCAGGAAGCCTTCCTTGACTTCCCTTTCAGCCTGGCTTCCTCCTTTATCCTTCTATAGCTTCCTATAGCTTTTCTATCAATACTTTATCACATGATTGTGGCAATGTTGATTAACTTGTCCATTTCTTTGAACAAACTATATATTCTTTAAGGTAGAGACTCTATGTTATTCTCCCACTAAAGCCTGAAACATAACAGGCATTTAGTAAATGTGGAATGAAAGAAAGCTTTGTTTGAATCTCTCTCTTCACCCAACCCTCACTCCCAAACAACTCTCTCCCTTCTGGCTTCCAAGGCTGTGACTGGCTGAAGGCTCAGGAATTCCCAGCAAGGGGAAAAGTGCAGACCCTCAGGAAGCTGTCAGGGAGTGGGGGAACCTCCAACTCTCAAAGCGAATTCAGATCTTAAAATTGCTTGGGACCATGCAGCCTCCACAGACCTCCGCTCACAGCAAAGCCGGCGCCCGCTGAGTCAGGGAGGGAGCCCCAGGGCCTATGCTCATGCCTGCAACCTCTGAAATGTGGGGTTGTGTGTGTGTGTGGGGGGACGGGCCGTGAGAGAGATTGGTTCCCATTTTCCAGGGCTGCTGGGAGGATGCCCCAGGTGCCCCAGGTTGCATTACCTGGGTCTCATAGGTGTCCCCGAACAGGCTAAGTGGTGTGCCCGCCTGCAGCTCCTGGCGGTGGCTGTCCAGCCAGGCCTTCAGAGACATGGGCTTCATGACGGATCGTGTGCTCAGTGGGAATGGTGGCTCCTTGAGCAGCTGGTCTGCACCCACAGCATGACTCTAGTCAGTGTCCTTAGGACCCAGCTCACCCAGCCCCAGCGGGCCAGTTCCCAGGGGCCCCAGGTCTCCATTGCCAGAACAGGCTCTGGATCCAGCTCAGTGATCAAGCAGCCATGTAGGGTACCATTGGCTCCCATCTCAGTACCTTGAGGACTGGACAGAGTATTCAAAAAGACACTCCCCAGTCCCCTGGACCAACACCCATCCTATTTTGGAAGGTGAGGGAGGGAAGAAGGGAGGTTCCCAGTGGCCTCACCAGGGATGGGCTTTCCTGTTCTGTACTGCTCAGAGCTGAAGAACCTGCAGGGATGAAGAGGGAGGGGCAGGAGTGGACAGCACTCCCATTGGAGTGGCCAGTGACACGCACATACACCATACTCATGGTCAGGTGCACACACACTCATGGGGTCCTCACACAACTGTGTGTCTCCCATCCTTTCCCTCCCAGCCCCGCGCTGCTGCCCCTCCCCCTCCCCAGTGGGCCCTCTGGGCCAGGCTCCCCATCCTGGGAGGGGAGACTTTCTCCCAGGCCATCAGGTGCTGATGCAGAGCCCCAGGAAAGCAAGGGGCAGGGGCTGGGCTGGGGGCTTACTCCTGGATGATGGGGACCAACTGCGTGCCGAGGTCCTTGCAGTGGAACCACTTCTCAAACAGGATGTCCACGGTGTCCCCCATGTAGTACCTGCCAGAGCAGAGGACAGGCAACCCTGCTGTCCCCCTCTGGATGGCTTCAGGGCAGCCTCACTCAGGCCTGGCTCTGCTTGTGGAAGTCCCTGCAGAGCCCAGCTGTCTGTTCCACCCCTGTTAGCACACCCTAGTGGTCACTGGTCACTTACACCTTGCTCTTCAGAAGCACACGTGCACCCCCTGAGAGGGCTACTATCTGCAGAATTCACATGGCTCTCTCCGGTTCCCAAAACTAGACAAAGCAGATGGAACTCTAAGGCTCAGAGAAGCTGAGCAATGTGGCAGGGATTACACAGCCTGTAGGTGGAAGCAGGCCAGTCTCAAGACAATCTTAGACACTTAGAGAGCATCTAATTGCAGTGCTTTTGTTTTTCCCAAAAAGGAAGCTGAGGCTGAGCCTGAAACCAGGGCCAGCAGCTGGATGCTCTGCTCCTGCAGTGCTCTAGGTCAGAGTGCACAGACACTTAAGAAGCCAACAGAGCTGGGTGCCGTGGCTCATGACTATACTCCCAGCACTTTGGGAGGCTGCAGCGGGTGGATCACTTGAGGTCAGGAGTTTGAGATCAGACTGGCCAACATCGTGAAACCCAGTCTCTATTAAAAAAAAAAAAAGCCAGGCATAGTGGCAGGGGCCTGTAATCCCAGCTACTTGGGAGGCTGAGACAGAAGAATTGCTTGAACCCAGGAAGTGGAGGTTGCAGCGAGCTGAGATTTTGCCATTGCACTCCAGCCTGGGTGACAGAGCAAGACTCTGTCTCAAAAATGAATACAAAGAAAGAAAGAAGCCAACATGCAGATGACTCCCAGTTATGGCGTTCTTTTCCTTTCAGGGTCATGGTTGCCTTTGGGAGTTGGAGCAAAGCTTTGGACCTCTTTTCTGGGGTAAGGCCCATGTGCATGTGCATACAGCCTCGAGTAGACCCCTAAAGCCCACTCCAGCCCCCAGCCTGGCTCAGTGAGCTGCTTCCCCGGCCTGAGGAGCACCTGGCAGGCTAAATGGGCCCCAGGCCCCTGTGTGTGCAGCACGTGGCTGGTGCCAGGAGCGTCTGTGAACTGAATGCCCAAGCCCAGCTCCGGGGGCCAGGTCAGCTCTGTCTGCTCTTCAGCTCCTGCTGAAAAAGAGATGTGGTCCAGCTGATGGGAGACGCTTTACAGACACACAGTGCAGCCACCCACCTGGCAGCCTAAATGCTATCCTGGGATGGAGCTGGCCACCGGAAAGCTTCATAACTGGACAGCAATGCCCTCCGGGAACTGCCTTTGGAGTGGCATTTTAATGTTGAGTCCCTGGCTTTTATTAAAGGTCAAAAGCAGCCAGATAAAATGTGTTATTGAATTTGCTGTAAAATGATACTGAGGACACCATCCTCTCCATCAGACTCCCTATCTTAAAGTCCCTTGTGAGAAATTTTTTCTAGAGGATAAGGCCACGTGTCTGTCTCTGCAACAGACAGTTATGCAGTAATTATGCAGCCACTAACATTTTGTGAAAAGATTTAATAGTGTAAGAAATACTCAGCCGAATGCGGTGGCTCACACCTGTAATCCCAGCACTTTGGGAGGCCAAGGTGGGTGGATCACTCAAGGTTGGGAGTTTGAGACCAGCCTGTCCAACGTGGTGAAACCCTGTCTCTACTAAAAATACAAAAATTAGCCAGGCATGGTGGTGTGTGCCTGTAATCCCAGCTACTCGGGAGGCTGAGGAAGGAGGATCGTTTGAACCTGGGAGGCGAGGGTTGCAGTGAGCCAAGATTGCACCACTGTACTCCAGCCTAGGTGACAGAGTAAGACTTCTTGGAAAGAAAAAAAAAAAAAAAGAAATACTCATGAGTTTCTTTTAAGTAACAAAGGATGTAGATATGCATAGAAATAGGACAAGATGGAAGTTTAGGTTTCATTGGTGGCATGACAATTTTTTTTGTTTTCTTTTTTATTATTTTGTTTTCTTGAAATAAAATTCACATACCATCAAATTTATCCTTTTAGTAACAAGTAATTTTAATTTTGTTCACTTTGCATTCCTGTACTTTTTCAGATTTTGAGAATGAATGTGTATGACTTTGACAATCAGAAAAACAAGTATTTTTTAAATGCCTATTATAACAGAAGACGTGGGTGAAAGTATCCTGATCCTGGTAACCCGATGGGAAACTTGAATTTTTTTTAGTTAAAAAATACAATAAACAATGATCATGCCACTGCATTCCAGGGTTGGCAACAGAGTAAGTCCCTGTATCAAAAACAACGACAGCAACAACAACAACAAAAAACCTTAGCCAAACAAAAACACCGTTTAGCTTTTGGAAAATCTGTTTTCCTGAGCAATAAGCTGCTTCCTCCTTTCAGAGAAAAAGAATTGGGTAACTGATCAGAACCAAATGAGAACCCCAGCTATCAAATCAGAGTGTGGACAGCAGGGCCTGTGTGCTTCCCCTCTTGGGTATTGACTCGAACTCCTCTCTATACCATCCTGGCCCTAACTCCATATTTCTCTATAATGCCAGATCTAGCAAGTTACGCTTTAGCAACTTGACCTTCTTTGTGATAACAGTTCCTACCCTATAGGATCTTTGGGAAGATTCCATGAATAAATACATGCAAAGTCCTTAGCCAGGCATCTGGCACATAGCAAGTGCCACCCAGATGTCAATGCGTGTTGTGGAATGAGCTGGGGGTAAAGAAACCAGCTGAGGGAGGCACTGGCCGACACTAAACTCTGGAGAGAAGCAGCAGTTCTGTCTGCACTGCCAGACAGAACTGGCAGGTGGGTTTGACTTTGGCACCCCTCCGGCCCGCTTTCCCCATCCCATTCCTCCCAGAAGACCAAATGAAAGGAAAATATCTTGGGCCCTGAAATCCCTAAGCTAAAGGGAAACGTCAAGTTGCAAACTGCTTAGGGCAAACCTGCCCCCAGTTCTATTCAAAGTTACCCCCCTGCTCATCGTTATAAATGCATATCTGATTGCCTCCTCTGGAGAGACAATCAGAAACTCAAAAGAATGCAACCACGTGTCTCTTATCTACCTGTGACCTGCAGGCCTCCCTGCTTTCAGTTACCGGCTTTTGCTTTGAGTTGTCCCACCTTAACCAATGTTCATCTTACATATGTTAGTTGCTGTCGCCTGTCTCCCTAAAATGTATAAAACCAACCCGTCAACAGGACCTTCTGAGGTATGTCACGAGCACAAGTCCTCAACCCTAGCAAAATAAACTTTCTAAATTAACTCAGATCTGTCTCAAATTTTTGGAGTTGACATTTTGGTAACCACAGAGGGATTCTGAGTGGTGGTGCCCCTGACCTTTGACAAATCTCCTAACGGTGCTTGGTACCAGGGTGAGTTAACTTTATGGCTCAAACCAATAGAACAATTTGCTGAGGTCTGGGACCACCCACTCCAGACAATCCCAGATCTCCCCAAATTTGGTGGAGATCTAAAGTTTATTTTGCTCTACAACTCCCCCCTGCTTTTTTTGTTTTTGGAGTTTTGCTTGTTTCTAACAAGGAAGGCAAGTTTTCCTGCTTCCATGACAATGGAAGGCAGGCAACTCCTTTATGGAGTTTGAGCTCGCTTCCAATAGGGAAGATGAGGTTTTTTTCTGCTTCTAAGATGGTAGAGAGCTGTCTTGAGGCTGAGACCCATCCCTAGGTAAGTAGCTGAATTGGGGGTTTGTCTTAGCTAAAGTTAACAAACAGCTGCTCTGAATCTGTCCTTACCATTAGAGTGCTCAGAAATCACATAAGCTGTGCCATCGTTTGTTTTGTTTGACTGTTTTTTGTTGTTGTTTGTTTCTGTTTTGTTGTTGTTTCAGTCTTTTCCCATTGGGTTTGATCGGCAATATCTGACTTGATCAAATCTGAAAGAAGTTCCTAATTATGGGGAGCAAGGCCTCTGGAGTGGCTAAATTTCCCCCCACCCCCTCACCCCCACATACACATAAAGGGCCGGGCACAGTGGCTCACACCTGTAATTCCAGCACTTTGGGAGGCTCAGGTGGGCAGATCACAAGGTCAGGAGTTCGAGACCAGCCTGGCCAACGTGGTGAAAGCCCCATCTCTACTAAAAATACAAAAATTAGCTGGGGGGTGGTGGCATGCACCTGTAAACCCAGCTATTTGGGAGACTAAGAAAGGAGAATTGCTTGAACCTGGGAGCAGAGGTTGCAGTGAGCTGAGAATGCACCACTGCACTCCAGCCTGGGTGACAGAGCAAGACTCTATCTCAAGAGGAAAAAAAAAAAAGTGGGATGGTGTGAGGAGAAAAACGAGGAACAAAAGGAAAAAAAAAAGGAAAGTTTGTTTTGTTTTGACTGCTAAGGGGCTTTATTTGCATAAAAGGCCACCTTTTGCTAGCTAGGCAAAACTGATAGAGCAATGCTGTAATTTTGAAATAGCAGCATCTTTTCTAGCTGAAATATGGTAATGAGATTTAAAAAGATTTTTAAAAGGAGCTCAATGGTTAAGAGTCAGCTTAATTAAAAGCTAACATCCAAGGTGTGTGTGTGTGTGTGTGTGTGTGTGTGTGTGTGTGACTGAATTCTGTTTTCTTCATTTACTTCTACTGTCTCTCCTTTCTCTTACACCCTCTGCTGCATGAGATAGTTTATAGAAGCCTGGTGTTTCTTAAAGAAATGAAGAAGGTGCTAGACTCTTTTTGTGGGGAGAAACCTGTTTTTCCTTATGGAACCCCAAGAATGTAAAAAGGTAAGTTGGTCTCAGATCTTAAACTACTTACTTTTATATTGTGTTATCTGTTTGTTGTTGTTGTTGTTGTTGTTGTTTTGACTAAAATAGGTTATTGCAACAGAGGTTACTCTTACTCTTGAGGTTTTAAGCAAGAGTGTGGTTTAGACAGTTAGAAATGTATTTGTCTAAAAAAATTGTTTAAGTGCACTGTAAAAGCATCGTGTGGTGTAAACTCATAATAATTCTCCCTTTTTGGAGACCCCGAATTCAGTGTGGGCTCTACCCAGAGCTCAGAGATCCAGTTAAAAAAT